TGTTAGATTTATATTTTACCACTATTCGATTCAGAGAACGATTGCACACTTACGATGACATGTCACATTTGTGAGTCCTGCAATACCGTGAGTCAGATATTTTAAATGTTACATGAGAACGATAACGATATTCACGGCTGACAACTTTTATAACGTTTTTCACCATATTTCGAAAGAGTTGTACAGAATTCATTTCTACTTGCTCTATAATACAGTATTCTGCTTTTCGCCGCTCATTGGCATGATAACAACCGAAGTACTACATCAACTAAGTCCCGCTGCCCACTGTAAAACATGCGGCTTTCCAAACAATGTTCGCACTGTTTTGCAAGCGTCCAAGACGTAGCATGGCGACAGCCATGCTACCGCTATCTATCCTACTGTGGCCATAAGCTATTTCGTAACGATCTGCATCCTACGTCTCAGGTGCAGCCATTCGGTGCTCTTAAACTAAACAATTGTCGCTATGCGCCGATTCCTCTCCGATGTAAAATACTAAGACACTGATGTACCATTACCGTTGGAATTACCTTTATCTTAGTCTACTCAGAAGATTGGCCATGTATACTTCAACCTCTAGTAGGTGCCTCTTAGGCAGGTGCCTTAAAGATACTGCATCGCACCAAGTTAGTAATTGATCAAACCAGATAGCAACTGTATTCAATCTAGATTTACATTAGCCCTATATTTACATATACATATACATGAATATAGGAAATAGTTAAACTCAGTTAGCAGTAGTGTTAAATATATGTATATTTTGTTGACAATAATCATATAAGGCTGATGAGACATCTTTTCGCGTATTCTTTGCGCATTTGCTACGGAGAAGCCTATCGACTCGAAAGCGTCAGCGATGGTGTCTACTGAACTGGATCGCACCAGGTGATCAACGGCCTTCGGCATTTGAAGGATTGCTTAACATAGTTTAGGGAAGTAATTGCCAGATTCCGATAACAAATACTGTCTTCCATGCGTCTAGATCCTGAGCATGTACCGTAATTCTTGTTGGCGTCTTCGTAGATTAACATTTGCTGCCTAGTTGAGGTATCTGAAACAGCTCTGTTTCATCTTATTCCGCTTGATTACAAATGCTTTACTATGGACCTTTGAGTGTGTGCGTGAGTTGC